TAGATTTAGGACTAAATGACAGTCGATTTTTGTGTTTTTTGGAGCCTAGAGTTGGACAAAATGAGACGGAAATACATTACCTGTCCCAGTCACTGTCACATGTTGGAGTCTTAGATTTCATTAAGGCTGTGAGTGGACCAGAGACAAGTTGTTATGATAGATTTAGGACTAAATAACAGTCGATTTTTCTGTTTTTTGGAGCCTAGAGTTGGACAAAATGAGCCGGAAATACATTACACGTCCCAGTTACTGTCACATGTTGGAGTCTTAGATTTGATTGAGGCTTTGAATAGACCAGAGACAAGTTATCATCGATTTAGGACTAAATGAGAGTCGTTTTTTCTGTTTTTTGGAGCCTAGAGTTGGACAAAATGAGACGGAAATACATTACCTGTCCCAGTTACTGTCACATGTTTGAGTCTTAGATTTGGTTGAGGCTTTGAATAGACCAGAGACAAGTTGTTATGATAGATTTAGGACTAAATGACAGTCGATTTTTCTGTTTTTTGGAGCCTAGAGTTGGAAAAAACGAGCCAGAAATACATTACCTGTCCCAGTTACTGTCACATGTTTGAGTCTTAGATTTGATTGAGGCTGTGAATGGACCAGAGACAAGTTGTTATGATAAATTTAGGACTAAATGAGTCGTTTTTTCTTTGTTTTTGGAGCCTCGAGTTGGACAAAATGAGCCGGAAATACATTACCTTTCCCAGTTACTGTCACATGTTGGAGTCTTAGATTTGGTTGAGGCTTTGAATAGACCAGAGACAAGTTTTTATGATAAATTTAGGACTAAATGACAGTCGTTTTTTCTGTTTTTTGGAGCCTCGAGTTGGACAAAATGAGCCGGAAATACATTACCTTTCCCAGTTACTGTCACATGTTGGAGTCTTAGATTTGATTGAGGCTGTGAATGGACCAGAGACAAGTTGTTATGATAAATTTAAGACTAAATGACAGTCGATTTTTCTGTTTTTTGGAGCCTAGAGTTGGACAAAATGAGCCGGAAATACATTACCTTTCCCAGCTACTGTCACATGTTTGAGTCTTAGATTTGGTTGAGGCTTTGAATAGACCAGAGACAAGTTGTTATGATAGATTTAGGACTAAATGACAGTCGATTTTTCTGTTTTTTGGAGACTCGAGTTAGACAAAATGAGCCGGGAATACATTACCTGTCCCAGCCACTGTCACATGTTGGATGAGTGGATAAGTTATAATAAATTTAGGACTAAATGAGAGTCGATTTTTCTGTTTTTTGGATCTTTAACAATAGAAACAACTCAAAACGCCTTCACACAGAAACCTAAAAACGCGTTACTAGTTTTGGTGCTTCAGTTTAGTTTTTTTTCTCTAAAGATTTCTGGTTGGAAAACGGAACCAAACCAGTTTGGGGTCGGTTTTAACCTCCAAACATTTGGCTTCCTCCCCATAAAACTTTTTTAGATAAGCCAAGTTTTCAAATTCAAACTCAAAACATGGATGCATTTGAAGTGGGTCTCTTAGTGGATTCTGATAAACAACAAAATTTCCAAACATCTTAAGAGGATTTTTTATAGCTAGCAGCCATTTTTAGACCCTTAATGTTTGGGAAAAGGTTGATGAATCTTTTATCTGTGAGGAAGAACCTCCCAACCCAGAATCCCCTTAAAAAAAAGTCCCTTAAGGGCACATTGAACCTGGAGGTTCAGTCTCTAAGGCGCTGACCACCATGTTGTGGATGGTTTAAAATCTAACAGGATTGATTAAGGCGTTTCCTCCCAGGTGGGTCACGGTAGGCCCCGCCCCCTTTGCTCCCTCAGGTAATGACTTAATTGGATCAGAGGCGAGGCCCGAGCTAAATCCGAACGTCCATCTGCTCCAGCTACTCGCCTCCCTCTCACAGCGGGGCGGCCGGATTACAACTACGCTGTAAAAATGCAATCCTATAAGTGTTTAGAGTCAAAACTCACTCTGCTTTATTTACGGGAAGAAATATGGAAGCCAAAAACTCACTCAAAAAAAGGTAATATGCCAAAAAAAGAAAGAAAATGCTGATGAAATGCACCATAACTTTAGATTTCTGCTCCAAGTTTTAAATCTATAATGATGCTTTTTTGTGTTATAAAAAGCCATTTTATTTTCTTTGTCCCACACTTTAGCATTTATGTGACTTATTTAAGCATTTGTTTGATTAATTTCGATCTTTATCTGTATTTTTTTACTATATTTTCCCATCAGAACTCTGTCCAACTCATTTATTAATTCGTTAGCTTTCTCTCTTCTTCACAGATGTCTTTTTGTACGGTTTTCTTGAACATTTCCTTAACACTTTAAAGCCTGATCCAAGAATAAAACAAAACAGAAAATAACTTTTTTTTGGTTTTAAGTCTTTATTTGGCCTTTTAACAAAATATGT